CTCTACGAGTAACGGGTATAAATATGAATTACCAGCCAGGCTACATATTGCAGCCCTTATTTTCATTTCTAAGTTGGCAAGAACTTTTATAAGCGAACCAAAATGCCGTCTGCTCTAGAGTACTTGCGAAGGCATAAACTGCGAGAAGCTAGGACGCAGAGGAAATCCTTACAAACGGTTTTACATGGACTACCATGGAGATTTAACTCATTGGCCAGGTCCTTTCACAAGAATGCGGCCGCCCTGAGTAAATCCTTTGGCAATGTCGATATTATCGCGAATGAATCGGAAGAATATGGTGTCTTGCACTGGGAACCTATGTTTACCCCTGAAAATTAGCAAAGCTTATTAGTTTAAAGTAATAATAAACAAAATTGTTGTACTTTTGTACTTACATGTCTTCTTCTTCACAGCCAGCGTTATACCTGGCAAAAATAGGACATTTTTTTACGACAGTGATGCAACCTTTTTGCAAAGGCAAACTGTTTTTATTAAATTCTCAATAACTACAACTTCTTTTACCATGAAATTTTACCATAAATAAGTTTATTTTTAACTACAATACTAAGTACCTTTGAATAAATAATTCGTTAACAAAACATTTCGATAACTAACTCCGAAATTTGGACAAATTTAGTATTTTAAAGTTCTAGCTCATTGGTAACACTGCCAGGTAGACGGTTTGCCGACGGATTTTTTTAGCTAATTTTTTCGAGAGGTTTTATAAAAAGCATATTTTTAAATATAACCCAAAATAGATATAACGAGGACGGAAGCTAACTTCGGCAAGCCGAAGTTTTAATACCCTTGCAGATTTTACGAATTAAAACTTGACTAGACTAGCAACATGAATTAATAAACAACAAAATATTTTATAATTGAAAAAATAAAATTTTAAAATTTTTCACCCTATTGTTCCTATGGGAGCTATAGGATATAGACGCCCGATCGGCACGCGCGTTTACCCTAATGAAGGTACGCACAAAAACATACGATTTGGAAAGTTTCATGGGAATAGCTAATATTTTGCGCGAAATATCCTGAAAAACGTCAAATTTTGACCGATTTCACCCTATTGTTCCTATGGGAGCTATAAGATATAGACGTCCGATCGGCACGCGCTTTTACCCTGATCAAGGTACGCACAAAAAAATACGATTTGGAAAGATTCATGCCAATAGCTCTTACACTGAGCGAAATATCTTCATTTTTGTGAAAGCTATATCCGATTGTTCCTATGGGAGCTATAGGATATAGACGTCCGATCGGGTCGGCTTTCAAACTTGATCTGCGTACACATGTTTTAGGACGACTGTGAAAGTTTCAAGGCGCTAGCTTTTAAACTGAGCTCGCAAACGGTATTGAAACAGACGGACAGACGGACAGACGGACATGGCTATATCGACTCCCCTATTGATCCTGATCAAGAATATATATACTTTATGGGGTCGGAAACGTCTCCTTCACTGCGTTACAAACTTCTGACCAAAATTATAATACCCTCTGCAAGGGTATAAAAATCATAGTATGCAGGTACTTCATAAAATTCATTACAGTTGTCTTAAATAAAGTTATATTTTTGGGAAACATTTGTAAGTTTACTAATTTTATCAAAACGTCCGGCAAAATACGGGGGATTTAGAAACCGTCAAAAATGACGTCTGTGACACCGAAATTTGCTATTCGGGAGAAATTCGGTTGGAATGGTTTTCTGTGACACCCGCGTATACATTCTTGATAAGACTTTTGGGAAAGTTTCATCGCGATAGCTTTACAACTGAGGGACTAGTTCGCATACAAACGGACAGACGGACATGCCTAGATCGACTCGTCTAGTGGTGCTGATCAAGAATATATATAATTTATGGGGTCGGAAACGTCTACTTCACTGCGTTGCAAACTTCTGACTAAAATCATAATACCCTCTGCAAGGGTATACAAATTTGTAAACAAAACAAAATGTGTGCTGCTTTGAGAATTTAGAGCAACTTTGGAACTTTATAAATTAATATTAGTTATTACTTACGAAGTGCAGAACATATTCTGATACTTTGCTGCATAACTTGGTGTTTTCGTACCCAGAACAGCTTACATTTTGACACACTCATAGCAACCCGTTTGCGAACGCCAAAAAAAAATGAGCTTAAGCATTATTTTTTTTCCCCGCCATCGATTTAATTTGTTCTTGTAGTCATCGTACCATTTTTCACAGTCAAGAAGAAGAATTCAGAGTTTTACCGAAAAAACATCGCCTAACTATCGCATGAATGGATCTCTGTGGGAAGACCCTATTAAAGGGTCCTTCTGTCTGTCCGTCCGTATGGACGCTGGGATCTCGAAAACTATAAAATCTAGAATGTTGGTACTACCGATCGGTATCCATACAAATTCTAGTGGTTCCTGAGCAGCGCAAATTTTGCTACAGCCGAGCGCCACGCTCAAATCTATAAAAAAAATTGGAAAAGTATATGGTCATTTCCAGGGTGACGGACGCGACATTTTTGCAACTTAACTTTTAGAAATAACAGTGACGCTATATCAGACGCTCTCGTACTTATGGTGAAAAAATTAAGATTATCTATTTAGCCAGTTCTTAGAAATAAAATAAGTGAAATACGGACTCGATAAAAATAGAACTGCAATATTGAAAACTTTAGAAAAACCTTAAATTCTGCGGAACTGGAGGGAGTATTATTTTGGGTTTTTTTTCAAGAATACCTGATGAGTAACAGAACACATCAAAGCAAGTTCGGTGGCAAAACATTCAGCGGTCTTTTTTCTAAAGCTAGTGCAAAAATACACACGCGACAATTACGGACGCAACATGTTACTTAACAAAAAATTGCAACTTTTTATTTTGTTACTAAAGTTCGTACTGTAAAGTTTGGTTAAATTATTTTAGCCTTATTCACCTCTTTTTAATAGAAACATAGTTTTTATATAGCTCGTTCTATGAAAATGATATGACAAAGTGGTTAGAGTTTAATTAAAATTTAGTTAGTAAGTGCAGAAATTTAGCCAAAGTACAACAGTTAAAAAATATATCCCTTTTTAAAAAAATTTAATCTTAGAAATATGTTGCACGTATAGGGTATTTTATAAAATTATGTTTTTAGTTGGAAAAGCTGTAAGCTCCATACAAATTTCGAATTGTCTGGTAATGGATGCATGGTGTATTTTGGAATCTGTGCAACACTTTTACATTTAAATTGTAGTAGAAAATTCCACCACTTTATTGGCACGAAATGTAAAGAAGCTTTATTACCGAGCATATTAAAACAATTCTAAAGGACTCGATAAGTGTTTTCTCTCTGATAGCAAAATTTGTTGTACAATTTACAACTAAACAAATATTAAATATTATTAAATAAATTTTCTGAAAAACAAGGCCTTCGTCGTTTTTCATAGCTTTAAATAAAACAATTAGCTTCACAAAAAAATTATGAACAATTGTTTTCTAGTAATAAACAATTGAAATTAAGGACGCGACGGACTTTAAAATTTCTATTAAAATATTAATGCGCTAATTTTTATTGTCAAAACAATTTTATTAATTTGTTCCAAATATTCTTGCTTTACGCATAAAAGCTGGTTTATATGTGTCGCGAATTGGGCGAGTGAAAAGAAAAAATGATGTTTTTTGATTACGGACGCGACATTAAAAATGTTTAAAAACAAACTTTAATAAAAACACAATCCATTAATATTAAAGAAGTTCTAATTTTTCCTGGTAGCACTTGCCTTAAACTAATTTGTAGAATTGGTTGCTTGATCTTGAGACTTCCACAGAAGGCATAGCAATATTACGAAAACACATCAAAATGTTGCTGAGATATACAGTATGTGTTGCTCGTGCTTAAAAGCTGCATATCTTTGTGTAAAAAAAGGAAGTGTAATTGATTCACAAAATATAGATCCCAATTCTATTTTTAAACAAAAAAAAATTTTTTTCGCTAGCTTTTAGTTTTTGGGGTTTGGTTGAATTTTTCCTGGAAATGCCCATATGCCAATTCTTTTTGTTGTATTGACCCGATTTTAAAAAAGTAGGATGATGGTAGTTAATGGTCGAGCTAGACCCCTAGATAATAAAGAACGAGTAAATAAAAAATGTTTAAATACATTTTTTATACCCTTGCGGAGGGTATTATAATTTCAGTCAGATGTTTGCAACACAGTGACCACATAAACGTTTCCGACCACATTATGTATATATATTTTTAATAGCCGAGTCCATCTAGTCATGTCCGTCTGTCCGTTTCTATGCGAACTAGTCTCAGTTCTAAAGCTATCGCGATGAAACTTTCCCAAAAGTCTTATTTCTACTGTAGGTAGTACATGTCGGAACGAGCAGGATCGGACCACTATATCTTATGGCTCTCATAGGAATATTCGAACATTATACGTTTTTTGATATGAAGTAGACATTTTGATTTCTGACATTTTAAAACCCAAATCTAAAAAAATGCCCAATATACATCACACGTAAACGGGACACATCGAGATAAAGGGTTTGAAGCTCACAAAGAAGGTAAATATGCATTTGAACTGCAAGGGTATACAAACTTCGGCCTGCCGAAGTTAACAACCTTTCTTGTTTAAATGAAATGTTCAAATGTTTTAAATGTTTAAAATGGCGACTTTTTTTTTTTTTTGTTTTTTACAAATTTACCAATTTATAAAAATGGAAAAAAATTTCTCATTTTTAAAGTAAGATTTTTTATAGCTTTAAAATTGAGAGACTATGTTGCGTACATAGCTAGATCGACTCGTCTGCCGATCGGGGTCGGAAACGTTTAAATCATACTACCCTCTGCAATTGCTTAAAAATAGAAAATGGTACAACCCTCAAATAGCGCTTTTGTGTTTGGCTTGAAATACAAATTTATGGCCTCAAAATCCAGTTTTGGGTCGCCGATTTTCCGGAGAATGTCTTATTAATGTAATTTTACCTATTTCCTAAGAAAAACACTAATTTCACACGGTTTTCAATTTATTTGTAGGCGTTCCAGCTATGGCAGGTAGCGCAATAATTGGAGGCGTGCTCTTGGCTCTAATCGAAGGTGTTGGAATATTATTTACTAGAATATCAGCCGACCAGTTTAGAAATCCGATTCCACCGGCAGAAGACCCGTCGGCTCTTGGAGATCCTGGAAGTAATTTTTCATTTGGTTCAACATCTAATCAAAAGCAATATCAATAAAATGCTTAATATTTTAAAACGATGTGAAATATTTTGATTTTATAATATCAAATTTCTATCTGACCATATGTCACAATGATGTTTTTTTAACGAAAATTACATAGTTGAATAATTTAAACGGCACAAGGGCATTTTTATGATGACGTACGCGACATTTATATGACTTTAATATTTAAAATAAGATGAAATTTTGACTTTACTCGACTTTTCACTTTAAATGTGCGGACTTTGAATAAAACTTTGAACGTCCACGGGGCAGCTCGAGGTAATCGCTCAAGAAACGTATTCGATAGTCGGCATAAGTGAGGCAGTTTACAAAAAGGACAAGAGTACAAGGGCGAAGTTTTAATCGAGTGCGTGCTCGAAAGACTACTGTTATACTTGTATGCCATCAGTCAAGACGCTGATGCTACAAGGCTGAGATTGCAACGGTTGTGAGGAGTCGTAAAACTCCCCACAAATCTCGAGGCAGGAGAGCCCCTAGCAACAGCGAAGGCAGCGAGAATGCGGCAGAATCCAAGGGCATCCAGGTCCACCGGTAAATACTGGACCTTGGACCCAGCCAAAGCGGAGAGACCGTGAAATAACGGTACCGCGCTGGACCTTGGACCCACGCCGCCAAAGGGCAATAAGGTCGAACGGTAAAGCCGTGGACTTTGAACCGGCGCAAAGAGGATGCACCGTGAATTAACGGGACATCTTGGACCTTGGACCCGATGCGTGCCGTGTGCAAAGGGAACTAACGGGACACACTTGAACATTGGACCCTAGCGAGCCGTGTGCAAAAAGGGAAATAACGGGACCCCGCCGCTGCCTATAAAAGGGACGGCGCAGGCGCAGCTCGAGGCAGTCAGTTGGAGTTCGCGCGACAGTCAGTGCAGTAAGCGCCGCAGTTCATGCAGCCAGGAGGCACGGGACGTGTCGGTCGGAAGACGCGACGCTGGCAGCCGGAGTACAGGACAGACAACCAAGATACGCGAGCGAAAGTACAAGTGCAACAAGTGAACCAGAGATCAAGAATACAAGTGCGAGGATTCAATCGAGTGCGTGGCCGTGAGAGTACCGTAGAAACCGAGTGCTCAACGCCCAGATCAAGATACCAGAGTCAAGACGCTAGGCCAAGGCTGAGACTGCAACGGTGAGATCTGCAGGACACAGAGATTGGAGTGGAGACGAGTGCAGGACAGGAGCAGAGTCGAGAGAAGGACGAGCTACCGGCAGGGTAAGCGCGGATCAAGAGTTTGTGCCAGGCGTCGGGGTTACGGTGGACTGACGATAAGGCTGAATCCTCGGATTTGACCTGTCGGGACATTTGTTTCTCAGGCTAGAGCCAGACCTACCCCAGGGAACACGACGAAACAGGTGATCCCAGGATCATTCTGGTCGGACCCGAAAGGAAGGTTGTGCATACTTCTTGAGTCCTACAAGCCGGGCGGAACTGGAGAGACGCAGTTGGAGAACGACGCCGCAGGAGTCCACACGCACCACAAAGGGAGACGAGAGCAGCGACGCCGTCGAGGAGCGCCGCCGAGAAACGCACGACGTGAATCTTGAGCCGAGGGACGCACGTCGCCGACCAGGCAAGCCGCAGCAGCCAGCTGACGAAGAATTTCAGCGAAAAGAAAAACTTAATAAAGTTTTCCGATTTGTCCCAATCGGATATCTCTGCATTTTCTTTGGTCACGGGCAGTCACGCAATACAAATTTGGTGGGACGAACACACAATATCTCTGAGCTAGTCGCGGCGTTTACGTTGCGATCAAACAGTTGAAAACAGTTCGTTACACGGTGAAATTTAAATGACGCAGAAATTGGTTATGAGGAAGTCCTTGGGGAGCGTAAGAGTGAAAGAGGAGTCCTTGCATTATATCTGGTGATACGGTGGACTAGTAATAGCCAGACCTATCTCCCTGAGTCCGGCGATACAGGTAATCTCACGGCAGTCAGTGGGTGGATCGCGACGAAATTCCGGACATGAAATTAAAAACGACCCATAGGATGAGGCACGGATTATGGAAGGCAAGCGATCCGTGGTGTTGCTCTCGTCGAATGACGACGATAAGACCAGGAAGCCTTCGGACTTGCCATCACAAGTTTTACGGGAGAATTTTTTGCAATTCGGCGGCGAATCGGTCTAATAATTCCGCACAGTACAGCCCTGTGACCGTTTTACCTTTGTCAAGGTATTCGATGTAGATCACACCTTTTGTATCCCAAAAAAAACGGTGGCCCTTACCTTTCCGACCGATGGGACAGTCTTCGCCTTATTCGGAGCAGGTTTCACGGTTGAAGTCCACTGTTTTTAATGTTCCCTGGTCTCTGATGTGTACCAGTGGATCCATGTTTCGTCGACGGTCGCGAAACGACGCAGACACTCCTTTGTATTGCGCTTAAACAGCGTCAAACACTGCTCTGAAGTGGTCTTACGGTTGCAGTTGTCTTTCGTGCAGGATATGATCCACGCGGTCTTTTGGCATGCTTACTGTCTATCTGGCTATCTCGCGTATCTTCAATCAGCGCACAGTTGGGCCTTTTGACTTTTTTTTTTGGTAATAAATCATAACTTTTGAACCAACAGAGATAATTGACAGATATATAAGGCAAAAGCAAAATCTAAAATGTACCTTGAATAGAGCGACCCGAAATAATAACGTCTTTATTTGATTTCTTTATTAATATTCAACTCTTATCTAATGACCCACATACCTGCTTAACTTTGGGTTTTTATAGTGCACATCTGTTATCGCTTATGTGCCTAGGATATTCGACCCTTCTTGGGACATCCCATATTTGGGTTACAGTTTATGACCTCATTGTAAAATACAGTTTACATAAAACGTATTCATGTTTGATAATTCTGCAAAGGGCCAGCAAGATTAGGTGTGTCGTTCTCTAATGTAATATCTATGCAATTTGATAATATGCTAACATTCTTTATTAAAACATCTTGCAAACGGCCTCCAAACGTTGTAGTGTACACAAATACCTAATAAAAAGTGTTCATGTTTGAACTTTCTGCCAAGGGCCAGCAAGACTGGGTGTGTCGATAAATTGACTTATAAGATATATGATATGATATATATTTCATTTCATTTATTAATATCCTATATGATCAAATATATTAAAGGCTTAATATTTAAATTATCTTGTGAATGGTTTTGAATTTTATTACCCAATTATACAATAAATCTTTTTTTATTTGACATGATTCCTCTTTAGGAATTCGTTCTTTGATTGTTTATTCTTAACACATTTGATCGGAATAATTTTAAATGCTCTTTGCCTTAATCGATATAAAGTGCGCATTAATTTCATACTTAAAATGGGTTTATATAATTGCCCATCAATGTACCCCTAACATCTTTTCTCATACTCTGGATTAGCCCAGAACATTCTGAGTTATCATTTATTAAATTATTTTGCCAAGATTCCACCACGTCTTGGTTTTGTATAAAAATATTCAATTCTGTATTAACTGTAGATTTTATTGCTAAGTCGTGAATATCTCCAAAGTGAGGTTCTGCCGGCTGAATAAAGTAGCTATGTATTTCACCGTTTTTAATTTCATTTGGAATCACGCAATCAACCAAAAACTTTTCCTTTTTTACTGGGAACGATTCGATTTCTAAATCTTTCAATTCTACACTCTTCTCTTTATCTATGGCTTCCTCATCCCATAATACAGAATCTATTTTACTTGATTCTTCACAATTTTCTTACTTTATGGATTCATCATTCCATAACGCAGAATCTGTTTTATTTGTGGTTATGGGTTCACAATCCCACACTACAGAATCTATCTATCTACTGAATCTATTTTATTTTGGCTTATGGGTTCAAAGTCCCACACTACTGAATCTTTCTTATTCGATTCCTCACAATTTTCTTCATTTATGGATTCATCATTCCATAATACAGAATTTATTAAATGTGAATCTATTTTAGCTATGAAAGTACGAAAATTCTCTCTAGCAGAATACAGGACAGGATATTCAGCATCATTTTTTTTTATCGCCGGTTATCATGTCTATTTCAGTTGTGATATTTTTAACATCAACATCAACCAAGCAGTAAATAAAAATAGAGGGCATCAAAATGACGTCTAACTTCTTCTATTAAATCACCAATTTTCTCGGCTAAGAAGTTTATTTTATATTTTCTTTTAATAAGAAAAGCATTATCTCTATCTGCTTGTCTGCACGTCTCAGCGCAATATTTGTTTAATTCCGAGACTAGAGCTACAAAGGTGTTTTTTGTTTCCGTTTGGAAACATCCTGGAGTAGACGGCTCTGCTGTAGGTATTTCCGCTGTAGGTGCCACTGCTAGATGCTGCTGCTGTAGATGCTGCAGTTGTAGATGCGGCGGCTGTTATAATGCGGCAACTGTAGATGCCGCAGTTTTAGTCGCTGCCGCTGAAGACGCCGCAGTTGTAGATGCTGCCGCCGTAGACGCTTCAGCTGTCGATGCAGTAGTCGCCGTTTTTGTGTTTTCAGCTGCTGTAGTTGTTGCTACTGAATTTGATGCTGCTGTAGATGTTGCTGCAGATGCAGATGCCATACAAATCGATCGGTTTTGTTATTGTTAAGAAAGTAGGCTTTGAAAAATTAAAATTACAATATGAAACAAAAAATTTTTTCAAAGCCTACCTTCTTAACATTAAGAAAATCCATCGATTTGTATGGCAGCTATATGAAGGGACGGTGGTAAAATAACAAAAAATCACAGGCGATAACCAAGGCAAACTCTTCAAAGTACCTGAGTTTGAAGAAAATCTAAAATTTGATATGCGCAGTTGAGAAATTCTTACCCAGCTAGAAGGAAGCATTTCTGATCCTATAAAGTAGGGGAGAGTGGGGCAATTTCGTCACAGGGGCAATTTCGTCACCTGCAATATCTCGTAATCCATAAGTCGTAAAAATATATATTTTTTTTTGTTTTAGTCCTTCAAGACGGCCAGACACAACCAATGCGTTTTTTTTTTGCACAGAAGGCCAAGATAATTGAGCTATAATATTAAATGTGTTTTAATAGTTCAAAAGCTACATTTAGTTCTCGACGAAATTTTTTCTGTATGCCACAATTGAAAAGGGATAAGATACAGGTTTTTTTGTATAATACACAGTGCTTGTTTAATGCACAAAGCGTCTTTTGTGCTGCATAAGATATCAGGTTGGGGGGTGCATAAACTAATTGCAATCTAAAAACTCAGGCGAGAAAAAGACGACCGTTTTCCAAGATCTAACATCAGCAACTGCCTTTTATTAGCAGCGGCAAAATAACATAATGTTCTAACAGAGTAATTTACAGAGATTGGTTAATACATGTTAATGAGCTTTGTTTACATTTGTATAGGCAAAGAGAAACAGTATGTAAGACGAAAAATATTGTGAGTTTGACCGAACATCCCGGCCGCCTTGAAAGTATCATCTTTCAACAAGATTGAGAATCCGTGGGTAATACTGCCAGCTTATGCACTAGTCGGCAGCACACCCCAGTGCTGGTTCGAATGTGGGCCACTCGAACTAGCCCATCCTTTCCGGGAACAACGGTCTCCACGCGCCCGATCTTCCATCGCTGAGGAGGCAGATTGTCGTCGTGGATGATGACCATGGTGTTAGCCCTGATGTTGGCCGATGGTGTTGTCCATTTGGTGCGCGAGCGTAGTTCATGTAGGTACTCAAGCGACCACCTTCGCCAAAACTGTTGTTTGCTCGCGGTCACGGCGTCGAATCGTTCCAGGCTGGACGCATGTGTTGATGACACAGTCCGTTCTGGAGGGGCACGAAGAGATTTCCCCACCAGGAAGTGGCCCGGAGTAAGTGCCCCAAAGTCGTTGGGATCTGGAGACAGCGGAGACAATGGGCGCGAGTTGAGAATCGCTTCGACTTCAGTGGTTATGGTGCAGAGCTCCTCGAAGGTGAATCTTGAATTCATCAGTGTTCTGTAGAGTAGACTCTTGGCGCTCTTTACCGCCGCCTCCCAAAGGCCTCCAAAGTGAGCAGCTCTAGGAGGGATGAAATGGAAAGTTATGAAATCAGTTGACAAATAAGACGAAATGACTTCTTGCGTGGCTTTGTCTTGAAGGAACGCTCGTAGTTCTTGAAGATGGTTGGCAGCTCCGACGAAATTGGTTCCGTTGTCGCAGAAGATGTCGGTTGGAATTGACCGTCTGGCGATCATCCGTTTAAGTGCTGCAAGAAATGCCTTGGTTGACAAATCCGAGACGACTTCTATATGGACGGCCTTGGATGCCAAACAAATGAAGACAGCGAGGTAGGACTTTGTTGGAACCTTTCCTCTAATGCGAAGATATATGTTAAACGGTCCGCAGAAGTCGACGCCACACCTTTGGAACGGCTGTTGCGGTAGCACTCGTTCTAGTGGTAGCGATCCCATGAGTTGGTTCTCCAGTTTGGGTCTGAACCGAACGCAGGCGATACAGGAACGCACCACTCGACGAGCCAGGTCCCTGGCGTTGATGATCCAGTATTCCAGACGGATTAGCGCGACTAGAGCTTTCGGGCCTGCGTGACAATTCCTCAGATGCAAGTGTCGTACATAAATCCACGCAAAGTGCGATTTGCTAGGCAGTAGCAGCGGATGCCTTTCAGATTCAGGGATGTCGGCGTTCTGTAATCGTCCTCCAACCCTGATAAGAGCATGTCCTGATGAGCTGTCGAGAAAAGGCGTTAAATACTTTAGGTGACTTGTAAGCTTAGCTTTCTGCAGCGAAGGAACGACTGTTGCTGAATATTGTAGACGATGCTGAACAATGCGCGGCGAAGTTCTTCCGATGTAAGCGATGGATTGACAATTTTGACTCCTCTTGATAAGTTGGCGAAGCGAAAGACGTATGCGATGGTTCGAATGCAGCGATTGTATGAGCTGATGTGAGTCAGCTGCTGGAGAACATGATTGCTGATCACAGCCGTGGTGAATGTGCTCCTTCGTTGCTCTGCTTTGACAATAGTTGGATCGATATCGATGATTTGCGGAGTAATTGGCCACTGGGACGATGGTTGGGTCAAGAACTGTGGACCTGTGAACCACATCGATGCTGCCATCTCAGTTGTAGCAGCTCCGCGCGAAACTGTGTCCGCCGGATTGCTCTCACCTGGTACAAATTTCCACTGGCCATCTGCGGTCCATTCTTGAATTTCGGAGATTCGGTTTCCAACGAATGCTGACAGTGTGACTGAGTGCTGTTTTAGCCAGTGAAACACAATCTGCGAGTCCGTCCAGAAATAGACCGAGACTTTTCTGTCCGCTAATAGAGGCTTCAATTTCGCATGCAGTTGGCCCAGCAAATGCGCTCCACACAATTCCAGTTTTGGAAGGGATTTTTTCTTCACAGGAGCCACTCTCGATTTGCCAGTCAATAGCTGCACTGCGACGTCTCCCGTCGACGTTTCCGAGCGTAGATACACGCAGCAGCCGTAGGCCCTGATTGATGCGTCACAAAATCCATGAAGTTGAAGTGATCGCATCTTGTGTTGGAGGCAATAGCGGGGAATCGATAAAATTGAGACTGTTTGGAATGATTCTAGGCATTTGCTCCAGGCCGTGTGTATGTTTTCTGGAACGCTCTCGTCCCATTGCAGGCCAGCGAGCCAAAGTTCTTGCAGAAGTATTTTTGCGACAACAACAAGCGGTGAGAGCAAACCAAGCGGGTCGAACAAGGCGGATGCGGTGGACAAAATACTTCTTTTGGTGATACGCGTTGCGTGGTTCCTTGGTATGAACTTGAAGAACAGTGTATCCTTGTGCTGGTTCCAGTTCACTCCAAGAGCGCTGGCTAGTCCCTCGCCACAGGAACTGAGCTTCTTGGATGCATGATCTTCCATGAATCCAACGTAGTTGGAATGCCATTTGGTGAGTGGGAAATGCCCTCGACGAAGAATTTCTGTGACTTGATCCTTGATAATGCGAAGCGTCTCTAAGTCGTCTGCACCCGTGAGTAGGTCATCAACATAGAAAGACGACTTTATGATAGCGACGCCGATTGGACAGTCAGCTTGATGAACATCAGCGAGGTGGTTGAGGCTACGTGTTGCCAAAAATGGGGCGTCTGCAGTGCCGTAGGTTACCGTATTCAATTGATACGTGCGCAGCGTGTCTTCTGAAAATGCTCTCCAAAGAATGTACTGGTATTTGCGATCAATAATGTCGAGATTTACTTGCCTATACATCTTGGTCACATCTGCTGTGATGGCGTAACGATGAAGCCTGAACTTTAGAAGCTGCAGGTACAAGTCCTCCTGGAGTGTTGGGCCAACGCACAGCAAGTCGTTGAGTGATAATTGATTTGACGTCCGGCAAGAGGCGTCAAACACCACCCTAAGCTTAGTAGACTCACTGCTGGGTTTGAGGACGCAGTGATTCGGGATGTAGTAGTGCGGCTCATGCAGTTTAGGATGAATAACTGGGGACATGTGCCCCAATTTCTCATACTCCTCCATGAAGTCGCAGTATTGTTGACGAAGTGCTGGAGATTTCGATAGGCGACGTTCCATGCTTAGGAACCGACGGCGAGCGATATCAAATGAGTCTCCCAACCGAGTTGGGTCAGCCTTGAATGGCAGTTTGACGACAATCCTACCAGTGCTGTCGAGACAAGTGGTCTTCTCGTACTGTTCCTCGCAAATAGCATGCTCCGGCTTCTGCAGAGGTGGCGAGTCGACTGCTTCCAGTTCCCACAGACGTTTGAGGTTGACATCAATGGAACTTGCGTTTAAAGCCATGCAAGTGGAAACTTCTATTGGCGCGGTTTGCTGCAGTCGGCCGGTTACGACCCAGCCAAACTGAGTTTTCTGCAGCAGCGGGCCTTGAGGTACCAGCCTTATTTGCCCTACAGTTAAGGCGTCGAAGAAGGCTTCGGTTCCCAGTAGCAGATTGACGTGGCGTGATTGGTAGAATCTTTCATCAGCGAGCGGCGTATTTTCTGGCAGCTTCCAAGTCGAAACGTCGATGGCCGGATCGGGCTGGTATGAGATTTGTGGAATAATACAGAGATCTGCGGAGAGTACGAAAGATGAAATGCGAGATTTGACAGATGCAGTTGTGCAATATTTAATATCTGTTTGCGAATGGCCGATGCTTCGAATTTGGACTGCATGTCTTTCCCTCCGTAAGCGAAGCCGTTGTGCGAAGTCTTCCGTCACGAAGTTCACTTGAGAGCAGGAGGCGAGAAGAGCTCTTCCAGGCCAGTAGGTTCCAAGCGCATCCTTGACGAGAACCATAGCAGTGGCAAGCATCACCTGAGACTTCTGGCCAGAATGCGAGTGCGAGTGTGTTGCAGCTTCCAATGGCGGTGCAGTCGGATACGGTTGGTGCGAGCGAGACGAATCTAGCGAATGGTTGTTGTGCAACAGGGTATGATGTGCCTTGTTGCAGGTGCGACAGCGATTTCTCGATGGGCAGCTCGACAGTTGGTGACCTCTACACAGACAGTTTAAACACAGACGGTGTGTTTTAACGACATCAAATCGCGCGGTTGGATTAAGGTCCTTAAACTTGTCACATCCGAGCAATTTGTGTGAGGGTGCGAGGCAGTATACACATGGTGCGTTGGTCAGCGAAAACGACGAATTGTGAGATCTTGCGGGGGGACGAGTCGGTCTTGGCCGCTCCGATCCATGGGATTGCTCGTCAGACAGAAGAAACTGGCAGTGGCGCTCAAGTATCTGCGTGCATTGGCTCCAGGATGGCAGAGTGAGATAATCCAGTGATTCGTTCCATTTTGTTTTGGTCTGCTGATCGCACTTCTCCATGACCACGTAAATGAGCATCGCCTCAGAAATTTGAGCGTCCGAGCCTAGTGATGAAAGGGCACTGTATAACGCGGATGCGTTGTCGATTAGGTTGCGGAGCTGTTGAGCACTTGCCGCAGCAGCCGGCGGCAGTATAAAAATCGAGGCTATCGTTTCGACAAAGATTAGGGCAGGCTTGTCATACCGGTCCTTCAGCCGTTCCAGCGCCTTCGCATAATTTTCTCCAGTGACCGGGAAGGCTGCGACAGCTTCCAGTGCAGGTCCCTTTAAACAATTACGGAGATGATTAAATTAGTCTATATTAGATATTTGCTCACGATTGACCAGTTGCAGAAACGACGAGATGAAGTTCTTGTAATCCTTATGATTTCCATCGAAGCTAGGTAGTGCCAATCTTGGCAGTCGAGACGGCGCACTGTAGCTTGGTGCAGAGATGTGGTCGAAAACTATGTTGTGCAGATCCTCTCCAAGAAGTTGCTGAATTGCCAACTTTGTAGTTATGTAACTGTCCTCCAGGTCTGCACGTCCACTATCTGTGGATTCCATGGTCTCAATTTCTGATTGTACCGAAAGGGCTTGCTTAAAATATGACTCTAAGATTCCCAAACGGCACTTAAGTTCAGCCGGCGATTTCTGCTCTTCTTCTTCCTTGGCATCGACCATTCCTCTTATGCGCGTAATGTTGCGCTTAATATTCGAGCGTTGCCGTTTGAGAGTCTCCAATATAGCCGTTGCCATTGCTGCGACGAAGAATGCGAATGCGAGAACGAGAGTAAATTTGCGGCAACAACAACGCGGAGCGACGAATGTGGCAATGCCGTGAAGTTAGTTCAAAGCGAAAGCGACTAGAACTCAAAAACTGTACCAGCAGCTGCAGTTGGCGGACTTTAAAATTTCTATTAAAATATTAATGCGCTAATTTTTATTGTCAAAACAATTTTATTAATTTGTTCCAAATATTCTTGCTTTACGCATAAAAGCTGGTTTATATGTGTCGCGAATTGGGCGAGTGAAAAGAAAAAATGATGTTTTTTGATTACGGACGCGACATTAAAAATGTTTAAAAACAAACTTTAATAAAAACACAATCCATTAATATTAAAGAAGTTCTAATTTTTCCTGGTAGCACTTGCCTTAAACTAATTTGTAGGATTGGTTGCTTGATCTTGAGACTTCCACAGAAGGCATAGCAATATTACAAAAACACATCAAAATGTTGCTGAGATATACAGTATGTGTTGCTCGTGCTTAAAAGCTGCATATCTTTGTGTAAAAAAAGGAAGTGTAATTGATTCACAAAATATAGATCCCAATTCTATTTTTAAACAAAAAAAAAAATTTTTCGCTAGCTTTTAGTTTTTGGGGTTTGGTTGAATTTTTCCTGGAAATGCCCATATGCCAATTCTTTTTGTTGTATTGACCCGATTTTAAAAAAGTAGGATGATGGTAGTTAATGGTCGAGCTAGACCCCTAGATAATAAAGAACGAGTAAATAAAAAATGTTTAAATACATTTTTTATACCCTTGCGGAGGGTATTATAATTTCAGTCAGATGTTTGCAACACAGTGACCACATAAACGTTTCCGACCACATTATGTATATATATTTTTAATAGCCGAGTCCATCTAGTCATGTCCGTCTGTCCGTTTCTATGCGAACTAGTCTCAGTTCTAAAGCTATCGCGATGAAACTTTCCCAAAAGTCTTATTTCTACTGTAGGTAGTACATGTCGGAACGAGCAGGATCGGACCACTATATCTTATGGCTCTCATAGGAATATTCGAACATTATACGTTTTTTGATATGAAGTAGACATTTTGATTTCTGACATTTTAAAACCCAAATCTAAAAAAATGCCCAATATACATCACACGTAAACGGGACACATCGAGATAAAGGGTTTGAAGCTCACAAAGAAGGTAAATATGCATTTGAACTGCAAGGGTATACAAACTTCGGCCTGCCGAAGTTAACAACCTTTCTTGTTTAAATGAAATGTTCAAATGTTTTAAATGTTTAAAATGGCGACTTTTTTTTTTTTTTTTTTTTTTGTTTTTTACAAATTTACCAATTTATAAAAATGGAAAAAAATTTCTCATTTTTAAAGTAAGATTTTTTATAGCTTTAAAATTGAGAGACTATGTTGCGTACATAGCTAGATCGACTCGTCTGCCGATCGGGGTCGGAAACGTTTAAATCATACTACCCTCTGCAATTGCTTAAAAATAGAAAATGGTGCGCTTTTGTGTTTGGCTTGAAATACAAATTTATGGCCTCAAAATCCAGTTTTGGGTCGCCGATTTTCCGGAGAATGTCTTATTAATGTAATTTTACCTATTTCCTAAGAAAAACACTAATTTCACACGGTTTTCAATTTATTTGTAGGCGTTCCAGCTATGGCAGGTAGCGCAATAATTGGAGGCGTGCTCTTGGCTCTAATCGAAGGTGTTGGAATATTATTTACTAGAATATCAGCCGACCAGTTTAGAAATCCGATTCCACCGGCAGAAGACCCGTCGGCTCTTGGAGATCCTGGAAGTAATTTTTCATTTGGTTCAACATCTAATCAAAAGCAATATCAATAAAATGCTTAATATTTTAAAACGATGTGAAATATTTTGATTTTATAATATCAAATTTCTATCTGACCATATGTCACAATGATGTTTTTTTAACGAAAATTACATAGTTGAATAATTTAAACGGCACAAGGGCATTTTTATGATGACGTACGCGACATTTATATGACTTTAATATTTAAAATAAGATGAAATTTTGACTTTACTCGACTTTTCACTTTAAATGTGCGGACTTTGAATAAAACTTTGAACGTCCACGGGGCAGCTCGAGGTAATCGCTCAAGAAACGTATTCGATAGTCGGCATAAGTGAGACAGTTTACAAAAAGGACAAGAGTACAAGGGCGAAGTTTTAATCGAGTGCGTGCTCGAAAGACTACTGTTATACTTGTATGCCATCAGTCAAGACGCTGATGCTACAAGGCTGAGATTGCAACGGTTGTGAGGAGTCGTAAAACTCCCCACAAATCACGAGGCAGGAGAGCCCCTAGCAACAGCGAAGGCATCGAGAATGCGGCAGAATCCAAGGGCATCCAGGTCCACCGGTAAATACTGGACCTTGGACCCAGCCAAAGCGGAGAGACCGTAAAATAACGGTACCGCGCTGGACCTTGGACCCACGCCGCCAAAGGGCAATAAGGTCGAACGGTAAAGGACTTTGAACCGGCGCAAAGAGGATGCACCGTGAATTAACGGGACATCTTGGACCTTGGACCCGATGCGTGCCGTCTGCAAAGGGAACTAACGGGACACACTTGAACATTGGACCCTAGCGAGCCGTGTGCAAAAAGGGAAATAACGGGACCACGCCGCTGCCTATAAAAGGGACGGCGCAGGCGCAGCTCGAGACAGTCAGTTGGAGTTCGCGCGACAGTCAGTGCAGTAAGCGCCGCAGTTCATGCAGCCAGGAGGCACGGGACGTGTCGGTCGGAAACCGCGACGCTGGCAGCCGGAGTACAGGACAGACAACCAAGATACGCGAGCGAAAGTACAAGCGCAACAAGTGAACCAGAGATCGAGAATACAAGTGCGAGGATCCAATCGAGTGCGTGGCCGTGAGAGTACCGTAGAAACCGAGTGCTCAACGCCCAGATCAAGTTACCAGAGTCAAGACGCTAGGCCAAGGCTAAGACTGCAACGGTGAGATCTGCAAGACACAGAGATTGGAGTGGAGACGAGTGCAGGACAGGAGCAGAGTCGAGAGAAGGACGAGCTACCGGCAGGGTAAGCGCGGATCAAGAGTTTGTGCCAGGCGTCGGGGTTACGGTGGACTGACGATAAGGCTGAATCCTCGGATTTGACCTGTCGGGACATTTGTTTCTCAGGCTAGAGCCAGACCTACCCCAGGAAACTCGACGAAACAGGTGATCCCAGGATCATTCTGGTCGGACCCGAAAGGAAGGTTGTGCATACTTCTTGAGTCCTACAAGCCGGGCGGAACTGGAGAGACGCAGTTGGAGAACGACGCCGCAGGAGTCCACACGCACCACGAAGGGAGACGAGAGCAGCGACGCCGTCGAGGAGCGCCGCCGAGAAACGCACGACGTGAATCTTGAGCCGAGGGACGCACGTCGCCGACCAGGCAAGCCGCAGCAGCCAGCTGACGAAGAATTTCAGCGAAAAGAAAAACTTAATAAAGTTTTCCGATTTGTCCCAATCGGATATCTCTGCATTTTCTTTGGTCACGGGCAGTCACGCAATACAAATTTGGTGGGACGAACACACAATATCTCTGAGCTAGTCGCGGCGTTTACGTTGCGATCAAACAGTTGAAAACAGTTCGTTACACGGTGAAATTTAAATGACGCAGAAATTGGTTATGAGGAAGTCCTTGGGGAGCGTAAGAGTGAAAGAGGAGTCCTTGCATTATATCTGGTGATACGGTGGACTAGTAATAGCCAGACCTATCTCCCTGAGTCCGGCGATACAGGTAATCTCACGGCAGTCAGTGGGTGGATCGCGACGAAATTCCGGACATGAAATTAAAAACGACCCATAGGATGAGGCACGGATTATGGAAGGCAAGCGATCCGTGGTGTTGCTCTCGTCGAATGACGACGATAAGACCAGGAAGCCTTCGGACTTGCCATCACAAGTTTTACGGGAGGATTTTTTGCAATTCGGCGGCGAATCGGTCTAATAATTCCGCACAGTACAGCCCTGTGACCGTTTTGCCTTTGTCAAGGTATTCGATGTAGATCACACCTTTTGTATCCCAAAAAAAACGGTGGCCCTTACCTTTCCGACCGATGGGACAGTCTTCGCCTTATTCGGAGCAGGTTTCACGGTTGAAGTCCACTGTTTTTAATGTTCCCTGGTCTCTGATGTGTACCAGTGGATCCATGTTTCGTCGACGGTCGCGAAACGACGCAGACACTCCTTTGTATTGCGCTTAAACAGCGTCAAACACTGCTCTGAAGTGGTCTTACGGTTGCAGTTGTCTTTCGTGCAGGATATGATCCACGCGGTCTTTTGGCATGCTTACTGTCTATCTGGCTATCTCGCGTATCTTCAATCAGCGCACAGTTGGGCCTTTTGACTTTTTTTTTGGTAATAAATCATAACTTTTGAACCAACAGAGATAATTGACAGATATATAAGGCAAAAGCAAAATCTAAAATGTACCTTGAATAGAGCGACCCGAAATAATGACGTCTTTATTTGATTTCTTTATTAATATTCAACTCTTACGTAGCTAACATGAGAATCTTATTTTACTCTTATCTAATGACCCACATACCTGCTTAACTTTGGGTTTTTATAGTGCACATCTGTTATCGCTTATGTGCCTAGGATATTCGACCCTTCTTGGGACATCCCATATTTGGGTTACAGTTTATGACCTCATTGTAAAATACAGTTTACATAAAACGTATTCATGTTTGAACATTCTGCAAAGGGCCAGCAAGATTAGGTGTGTTGTTCTCTAATGTAATATCTATGCAATTTGATAATATGCTAACATTCTTTATTAAAACATCTTGCAAACGGCCTCCAAACGTTGTAGTGTACACAAATACCTAATAAAAAGTGTTCATGTTTGAACTTTCTGCCAAGGGCCAGCAAGACTGGGTGTGTCGATAAATTGACTTATAAGATATATGATATGATATATATTTCATTTCATTTATTAATATCCTATATGATCAAATATATTAAAGGCTTAATATTTAAATTATCTTGTGAATGGTTTTGAATTTTATTACCCAATTATACAATAAATCTTTTTTTATTTGACATGATTCCTCTTTAGGAATTCGTTCTTTGATTGTTTATTCTTAACACATTTGATCGGAATAATTTTAAATGCTCTTTGCCTTAATCGATATAAAGTGCGCATTAATTTCTTACTTAAAATGGGTTTATATAATTGCCCATCAATGTACCCCTAACATCTTTTCTCATACTCTGGATTAGCCCAGAACATTCTGAGTTATCATTTATTAAATTATTTTGCCAAGATTCCACCACGTCTTGGTTTTGTATAAAAATATTCAATTCTGTATTAACTGTAGATTTTATTGCTAAGTCGTGAATATCTCCAAAGTGAGGTCCTGCCGGCTGAATAAAGTAGCTATGTATTTCACCGTTTTTAATTTCATTTGGAATCACGCAATCAACCAAAAACTGTTCCTTTTTTACTGGGAACGATTCGATTTCTAAATCTTTCAATTCTACACTCTTCTCTTTATCTATGGCTTCCTCATCCCATAATACAGAATCTATTTTACTTGATTCTTCACAATTTTCTTACTTTATGGATTCATCATTCCATAACGCAGAATCTGTTTTATTTGTGGTTATGGGTTCACAATCCCACACTACAGAATCTATCTATCTACTGAATCTATTTTATTTTGGCTTATGGGTTCAAAGTCCCACACTACTGAATCTTTCTTATTCGATTCCTCACAATTTTCTTCATTTATGGATTCATCATTCCATAATACAGAATTTATTAAATGTGAATCTATTTTAGCTATGAAAGTACGAAAATTCTCTCTAGCAGAATACAGGACAGGATATTCAGCATCATTTTTTTTTTATCGCCGGTTATCATGTCTATTTCAGTTGTGATATTTTTAACATCAACATCAACCAAGCAGTAAATAAAAATAGAGGGCATCAAAATGACGTCTAACTTCTTCTATTAAATCACCAATTTTCTCGGCTAAGAAGTTTATTTTATATTTTCTTTTAATAAGAAAAGCATTATCTCTATCTGCTTGTCTGCACGTCTCAGCGCAATATTTGTTTAATTCCGAGACTAGAGCTACAAAGGTGTTTTTTGTTTCCGTTTGGAAACATCCTGGAGTAGACGGCTCTGCTGTAGGTATTTCCGCTGTAGGTGCCACTGCTAGATGCTGCTGCTGTAGATGCTGCAGTTGTAGATGCGGCGGCTGTTATAATGCGGCAACTGTAGATGCCGCAGTTTTAGTCGCTGCCGCTGAAGACGCCGCAGTTGTAGATGCTGCCGCCGTAGACGCTTCAGCTGTCGATGCAGTAGTCGCCGTTTTTGTGTTTTCAGCTGCTGTAGTTGTTGCTACTGAATTTGATGCTGCTGTAGATGTTGCTGCAGATGCAGATGCCATACAAATCGATCGGTTTTGTTATTGTTAAGAAAGTAGGCTTTGAAAAATTAAAATTACAATATAAAACAAAAAATTTTTTCAAAGCCTACCTTCTTAACATTAAGAAAATCCATCGATTTGTATGGCAGCTATATGAAGGGACGGTGGTAAAATAACAAAAAATCACAGGCGATAACCAAGGCAAACTCTTCAAAGTACCTGAGTTTGAAGAAAATCTAAAATTTCATATGCGCAGTTGAGAAATTCTTACCCAGCTAGAAGGAAGCATTTCTGATCCTATAAAGTAGGGGAGAGTGGGGCAATTTCGTCACAGGGGCAATTTCGTCACCTGCAATATCTCGTAATCCATAAGTCGTAAAAATATATATTTTTTTTGTTTTAGTCCTTCAAGACGGCCAGACACAACCAATGCGTTTTTTTTTTGCACAGAAGGCCAAGATAATTGAGCTATAATATTAAATGTGTTTTAATAGTTCAAAAGCTACATTTAGTTCTCGACGAAATTTTTTCTGCATGCCACAATTGAAAAGGGATAAGATACAGGTTTTTTTGTATAATACACAGTGCTTGTTTAATGCACAAAGCGTCTTTTGTGCTGCATAAGATATCAGGTTGGGGGGTGCATAAACTAATTGCAATCTAAAAACTCAGGCGAGAAAAAGACAACCGTTTTCCAAGATCTAACATCAGCAACTGCCTTTTATTAGCAGCGGCAAAATAACATAATGTTCTAACAGAGTAATTTACAGAGATTGGTTAATACATGTTAATGAGCTTTGTTTACATTTGTATAGGCAAAGAGAAACAGTATGTAAGACGAAAAATATTGTGAGTTTGACCGAACATCCCGGCCGCCTTGAAAGTATCATCTTTCAACAAGATTGAGAATCCGTGGGTAATACTGCCAGCTTATGCACTGGTCGGCAGCACACCCCAGTGCTGGTTCGAATGTGGGCCACTCGAACTAGCCCATCCTTTCCGGGAACAACGGTCTCCACGCGCCCGATCTTCCATCGCTGAGGAGGCAGATTGTCGTCGTGGATGATGACCATGGTGTTAGCCCTGATGTTGGCCGATGGTGTTGTCCATTTGGTGCGCGAGCGTAGTTCATGTAGGTACTCAAGCGACCACCTTCGCCAAAACTGTTGTTTGCTCGCGGTCACGGCGTCGAATCGTTCCAGGCTGGACGCATGTGTTGATGACACAGTCCGTTCTGGAGGGGCACGAAGAGATTTCCCCACCAGGAAGTGGCCCGGAGTAAGTGCCCCAAAGTCGTTGGGATCTGGAGACAGCGGAGACAATGGGCGCGAGTTGAGAATCGCTTCGACTTCAGTGGTTATGGTGCAGAGCTCCTCGAAGGTGAATCTTGAATTCATCAGTGTTCTGTAGAGTAGACTCTTGGCGCTCTTTACCGCCGCCTCCCAAAGGCCTCCAAAGTGAGCAGCTCTAGGAGGGATGAAATGGAAAGTTATGAAATCAGTTGACAAATAAGACGAAATGACTTCTTGCGTGGCTTTGTCTTGAAGGAACGCTCGTAGTTCTTGAAGATGGTTGGCAGCTCCGACGAAATTGGTTCCGTTGTCGCAGAAGATGTCGGTTGGAATTGACCGTCTGGCGATCATCCGTTTAAGTGCTGCAAGAAATGCCTTGGTTGACAAATCCGAGACGACTTCTATATGGACGGCCTTGGATGCCAAACAAATGAAGACAGCGAGGTAGGACTTTGTTGGAACCTTTCCTCTAATGCGAAGATATATGTTAAACGGTCCGCAGAAGTCGACGCCACACCTTTGGAACGGCTGTTGCGGTAGCACTCGTTCTAGTGGTAGCGATCCCATGAGTTGGTTCTCCAGTTTGGGTCTGAACCGAACGCAGGCGATACAGGAACGCACCACTCGACGAGCCAGGTCCCTGGCGTTGATGATCCAGTATTCCAGACGGATTAGCGCGACTAGAGCTTTCGGGCCTGCGTGACAATTCCTCAGATGCAAGTGTCGTACATAAATCCACGCAAAGTGCGATTTGCTAGGCAGTAGCAGCGGATGCCTTTCAGATTCAGGGATGTCGGCGTTCTGTAATCGTCCTCCAACCCTGATAAGAGCATGTCCTGATGAGCTGTCGAGAAAAGGCGTTAAATACTTTAGGTGACTTGTAAGCTTAGCTTTCTGCAGCGAAGGAACGACTGTTGCTGAATATTGTAGACGATGCTGAACAATGCGCGGCGAAGTTCTTCCGATGTAAGCGATGGATTGACAATTTTGACTCCTCTTGATAAGTTGGCGAAGCGAAAGACGTATGCGATGGTTCGAATGCAGCGATTGTATGAGCTGATGTGAGTCAGCTGCTGGAGAACATGATTGCTGATCACAGCCGTGGTGAATGTGCTCCTTCGTTGCTCTGCTTTGACAATAGTTGGATCGATATCGATGATTTGCGGAGTGGTTGGCCGCTGGGACGATGGTTGGGTCAAGAACTGTGGACCTGTGAACCACATCGATGCTGCCAGCTCAGTTGCGCGAAACTGTGTCCGCCGGATTGCTCTCACCTGGTACAAATTTCCACTGGCCATCTGCGGTCCATTCTTGAATTTCGGAGATTCGGTTTCCAACGAATGCTGACAGTGTGACTGAGTGCTGTTTTAGCCAGTGAAACACAATCTGCGAGTCCGTCCAGAAATAGACCGAGACTTTTCTGTCCGCTAATAGAGGCTTCAATTTCGCATGCAGTTGGCCCAGCAAATGCGCTCCACACAATTCCAGTTTTGGAAGGGATTTTTTCTTCACAGGAGCCACTCTCGATTTGCCAGTCAATAGCTGCACTGCGACGTCTCCCGTCGACGTTTCCGAGCGTAGATACACGCAGCAGCCGTAGGCCCTGATTGATGCGTCACAAAATCCATGAAGTTGAAGTGATCGCATCTTGTGTTGGAGGCAATAGCGGGGAATCGATAAAATTGAGACTGTTTGGAATGATTCTAGGCATTTGCTCCAGGCCGTGTGTATGTTTTCTGGAACGCTCTCGTCCCATTGCAGGCCAGCGAGCCAAAGTTCTTGCAGAAGTATTTTTGCGACAACAACAAGCGGTGAGAGCAAACCAAGCGGGTCGAACAAGGCGGATGCGGTGGACAAAATACTTCTTTTGGTGATACGCGTTGCGTGGTTCCTTGGTATGAACTTGAAGAACAGTGTATCCTTGTGCTGGTTCCAGTTCACTCCAAGAGCGCTGGCTAGTCCCTCGCCACAGGAACTGAGCTTCTTGGATGCATGATCTTCCATGAATCCAACGTAGTTGGAATGCCATTTGGTGAGTGGGAAATGCCCTCGACGAAGAATTTCTGTGACTTGATCCTTGATAATGCGAAGCGTCTCTAAGTCGTCTGCACCCGTGAGTAGGTCATCAACATAGAAAGACGACTTTATGATAGCGACGCCGATTGGACAGTCAGCTTGATGAACATCAGCGAGGTGGTTGAGGCTACGTGTTGCCAAAAATGGGGCGTCTGCAGTGCCGTAGGTTACCGTATTCAATTGATACGTGCGCAGCGTGTCTTCTGAAAATGCTCTCCAAAGAATGTACTGGTATTTGCGATCAATAATGTCGAGATTTACTTGCCTATACATCTTGGTCACATCTGCTGTGATGGCGTAACGATGAAGCCTGAACTTTAGAAGCTGCAGGTACAAGTCCTCCTGGAGTGTTGGGCCAACGCACAGCAAGTCGTTGAGTGATAATTGATTTGACGTCCGGCAAGAGGCGTCAAACACCACCCTAAGCTTAGTAGACTCACTGCTGGGTTTGAGGACGCAGTGATTCGGGATGTAGTAGTGCGGCTCATGCAGTTTAGGATGAATAACTGGGGACATGTGCCCCAATTTCTCATACTCCTCCATGAAGTCGCAGTATTGTTGACGAAGTGCTGGAGATTTCGATAGGCGACGTTCCATGCTTAGGAACCGACGGCGAGCGATATCAAATGAGTCTCCCAACCGAGTTGGGTCAGCCTTGAATGGCAGTTTGACGACAATCCTACCAGTGCTGTCGAGACAAGTGGTCTTCTCGTACTGTTCCTCGCAAATAGCATGCTCCGGCTTCTGCAGAGGTGGCGAGTCGACTGCTTCCAGTTCCCACAGACGTTTGAGGTTGACATCAATGGAACTTGCGTTTAAAGCCATGCAAGTGGAAACTTCTATTGGCGCGGTTTGCTGCAGACGGCCGGTTACGACCCAGCCAAACTGAGTTTTCTGCAGCAGCGGGCCTTGAGGTACCAGCCTTATTTGCCCTACAGTTAAGGCGTCGAAGAAGGCTTCGGTTCCCAGTAGCAGATTGACGTGGCGTGATTGGTAGAATCTTTCATCAGCGAGCGGCGTATTTTCTGGCAGCTTCCAAGTCGAAACGTCGATGGCCGGATCGGGCTGGTATGAGATTTGTGGAATAATACAGAGATCTGCGGAGAGTACGAAAGATGAAATGCGAGATTTGACAGATGCAGTTGTGCAATATTTAATATCTGTTTGCGAATGGCCGATGCTTCGAATTTGGACTGCATGTCTTTCCCTCCGTAAGCGAAGCCGTTGTGCGAAGTCTTCCGTCACGAAGTTCACTTGAGAGCAGGAGGCGAGAAGAGCTCTTCCAGGCCAGTAGGTTCCAAGCGCATCCTTGACGAGAACCATAGCAGTGGCAAGCATCACCTGAGACTTCTGGCCAGAATGCGAGTGCGAGTGTGTTGCAGCTTCCAATGGCGGTGCAGTCGGATACGGTTGGTGCGAGCGAGACGAATCTAGCGAATGGTTGTTGTGCAACAGGGTATGATGTGCCTTGTTGCAGGTGCGACAGCGATTTCTCGATGGGCAGCTCGACAGTTGGTGACCTCTACACAGACAGTTTAAACACAGACGGTGTGTTTTAACGACATCAAATCGCGCGGTTGGATTAAGGTCCTTAAACTTGTCACATCCGAGCAATTTGTGTGAGGGTGCGAGCCAGTATACACATGGTGCGTTGGTCAGCGAAAACGACGAATTGTGAGATCTTGCGGGGGGACGAGTCGGTCTTGGCCGCTCCGATCCATGGGATTGCTCGTCAGACAGAAGAAACTGGCAGTGGCGCTCAAGTATCTGCGTGCATTGGCTCCAGGATGGCAGAGTGAGATAATCCAGTGATTCGTTCCATTTTGTTTTGGTCTGCTGATCGCACTTCTCCATGACCACGTAAATGAGCATCGCCTCAGAAATTTGAGCGTCCGAGCCTAGTGATGAAAGGGCACTGTATAACGCGGATGCGTTGTCGATTAGGTTGCGGAGCTGTTGAGCACTTGCCGCAGCAGCCGGCGGCAGTTTAAAAATCGAGGCTATCGTTTCGACAAAGATTAGGGCAGGCTTGTCATACCGGTCCTTCAGCCGTTCCAGCGCCTTCGCATAATTTTCTCCAGTGACCGGGAAGGCTGCGACAGCTTCCAGTGCAGGTCCCTTTAAACAATTACGGAGATGATTAAATTAGTCTATATTAGATATTTGCTCACGATTGACCAGTTGCAGAAACGACGAGATGAAGTTTTTGTAATCCTTATGATTTCCATCGAAGCTAGGTAGTGCCAATCTTGGCAGTCGAGACGGCGCACTGTAGCTTGGTGCAGAGATGTGGTCGAAAACTGTGTTGTGCAGATCCTCTCCAAGAAGTTGCTGAATTGCCAACTTTGTAGTTATGTAACTGTCCTCCAGGTCTGCACGTCCACTATCTGTGGATTCCATGGTCTCAATTTCTGATTGTACCGAAAGGGCTTGCTTAAAATATGACTCTAAGATTCCCAAACGGCACTTAAGTTCAGCCGGCGATTTCTGCTCTTCTTCTTCCTTGGCATCGACCATTCCTCTTATGCGCGTAATGTTGCGCTTAATATTCGAGCGTTGCCGTTTGAGAGTCTCCAATATAGCCGTTGCCATTGCTGCGACGAAGAATGCGAATGCGAGAACGAGAGTAAATTTGCGGCAACAACAACGCGGAGCGACGAATGTGGCAATGCCGTGAAGTTAGTTCAAAGCGAAAGCGACTAGAACTCAAAAACTGTACCAGCAGCTGCAGTTGGCGATGTAAACAAAACAACAACACTTTGCTGGCGGAATAACGGAGCAAAGGAGAATGAGCGATCGACGCCGAGCTTATAGAGCGGGCGGGCACACACACACAAGCGAAGAGATGTGCGAAGAAGAGCGCGAATAGTTCCGTTATACGAACGACACGTTGCCCTTAGAATTTTCGTGAATAGTTAATAACTTTATTTGTTTATTTATTATTCACTTTCGATGAATGCACTAGGGTTGAATGTTCACCTTTGTATGCGGTTATGACAATGTTGAGTTGCGATGAGCGGGTCGAGCGAATAATTGTTGCGGGCGATAGTTCGACAATTGTTTATGAATTAATAAATTGTTAATAATTTGTTTAAACACTGCCCCACGTTGGGCGCCAAAATGTTTAATGCACAAAGCGTCTTTTGTGCTGCATAAGATATCAGGTTGGGGGGTGCATAAACTAATTGCAATCTAAAAACTCAGGCGAGAAAAAGACAACCGTTTTCCAAGATCTAACATCAGCAACTGCCTTTTATTAGGAGCGGCAAAATAACATAATGTTCTAACAGAGTAATTTACAGAGATTGGTTAATACATGTTAATGAGCTTTGTTTACATTTGTATAGGCAAAGAGAAACAGTATGTAAGACGAAAAATATTGTGAGTTTGACCGAACAGTGCTATAATGTGCATTTCTGCGTTAGTAATGTTTAACTTCGCGCCTAATTTCGGAAGAAAAATAATTATTTCTAAAAAAGTACTGTGTGGGGAAATTTCGCCACCCTATGCTTAGGGTAAATTCGCACCTATTTTAGATACATCTTTTTTTATTTGACGAGCTGGCTAACGAACAGACTACCAGCAGCAGGAACAAATATAGGACGTCAACAAAAATGGTACGCTTGATCAGTGTAGCATATTTATAGGCGTTAAACTCCCTACATTTTTCAGGTGACGAAAAAGGCCCAGTGCTGTGGCGATTTTACCCCTGTATGTGGTGAGATTGCCCCAGTATATTGGTTTTACTTTTTAATTTTTTATAAATCACCAAGGTAATGAAAAAAAAGGGAAATGTCACATTTTAAAGCTTGGTGCTAACCGCATTCAACAATAAAAATAGAAATATGATAACGTGTCTCAAGATGGACTAAAAATAGCTTTGAAAAAATGCTGACGAAATATATATACTGGGGCAATTCCGCCACATAGGGGGTAAAATCGCAACACCACTGGGGCACTTCCGTCACCTGAAAAATGTAGGTCAAGCGTACCATTTTTGTTGACGTCCTATATTTGTTGCTGCTGCCGGTAGTCTGTTCGTTAGCCAGCTCGTCAAAAAAAAAAATAGGTGCGAATTTACCCCTAGCATAGGGTGGCGAAATTTCCCCACACAGTTCTTTTTTAGAAATAATTATTTTTATCCGAAATTAGGCACGAAGTTAAAAATCACTAACGCAGAAATGCACATTATAGCACTGTGTATTACATAAAAAAATCTGTATCGTATCCCTTTTCGATTGTGGCATACAGAAAAAATTTCGTCGATAACTAAATGTAGCTTTTGAACTATTAAAACACATTTAATATTATAGCTTTATTATCTTGGCCTTCTGTGCAAAAAAAATGCATTGGTTGTGTCATGCCGTCTTGAAAGACTAAAACAAAAAAATTGTATATTTTGACGACTTATGGATTCCGAGATATTGCAGGTGACGAAATTGCCCCACTCTCCCCCACAATTATAATCAATACAATATTACCAGAACAAGATATATTATAACAACAAACTTTTGAAACAAAGGCAAAGGCGTTCCTAGAAATCGACAGAGTAAAAACTATAAGCAAATTAATTTTTTTCCGAAAAAAAACATTTTTTTTAGAAAGTTTTGGTTTTGTTTAGTTTTTTTGTCTTTTAATTTAAAAAAATTATTTTAAAAAAAATTAGAAAAAATATATTTTTTTAATTCTCAAAATAAATTAAAAAGTTTATTGTGTTTTTATACCCGTTACTCGTAGAGTAAGAGGTATATTAGTTCGTGCAAAAGTATGTAACAGGTAGAAGGAAGCGTTTCCGACCCTATAAACTATATATATTTTTGATCAGGATCACTAGCCGAGTCGATCTAGCCAAGTCCGTCTGTCTGTCTATATGAACGCTTAGATCTCGGAAACTACAAAAGCTAAAGGGTTGAGATTTCCCACACATATTCTTGGGCTTCTTACGCAGCGAAAGTTTATTTTAGCCGAGCGCCACGCCCCCTCTAACGCCCACAATCGCCCAGTATCGATTTTAAAATGTGTCTGGCGCCCATACCCTTAAAGATTTCCGATAAGTATAAATGCAATTTTGTTGTGTATATTTATACCTATCAAAGTGTAGAAGACATTTTTAAAATCGGATCATTAAATAAAAAGTTATGCGCAATCAAAAAAAGGTTATATATCCATCTCCCTCGCATTCCCTTTAGCCGATTGACGGGTATTAGATAGTCGGGACACGAACACGACTACAGCGTTCTCTCTTGTTTTATATGTATTGTGTTAAAAGGTATGTATTTATATTTAATTTAAATATGTAAAACGAAACATTTAATTGCAGATAATAATTTTAATTTATCCACCGTTTTGTTTTGTATATCTAATAAATATTTAAAGTTAATATTATTATTTTATAAAAAGTTATACTATTCATAACAACTCGAATTGAATGCATAATTTAATTTTCAAACTTTAGCTACCTTAGGAGTATATTTAAATATTATACAAGGACATTTTATGCAAGTTATCCATTTTAGTATTTTGTATGAAAATAAAATTTGGTTTAATGATTTCGTGCCATTTAAATTCAGAATCTAAAATAAAATCTTGCCCATATTTTGCCCAAAGACCTTATGTTTAGAAATAAGTAAAATAAATCGTTCTGCATTTAAAAAACCGCTCAGCGAGACACTCTTGTAAAGCACGCAGTGATGGTGTTTGGCAATGACACTCCAAATTGAAACTAAACATGAGTAAACTGTCTTTAGAGTTTCAAAACAGATTTGAGAATTCTATGGGAGATAAAGCCAGGTATCTTGCTCATAATGCAAGGTGGCTTCACGTCACATTGAATGTCGAAAACTATCGCATTGATGTCATTGCTTCCACCTCAAGTACAAGAGGGAAGGCACAAAAAGCCTTTTCTGAGTGTTGTCCTAAATAAAACATATAAAAGGAAAAGCCACGAATTGTTGTCAACGATAGATGAGGATCAATTGCTATCAGCCGCAGAACAGGCTTTGCGGGCGGAAGGAAAACGGGATGCAGCTAAATTAATTAATGAATTATCTTATGCTTCCGCGTCCACGGGCACTATAATACGGAAAGCTAAATAATTTTCTAATGGCACTTCAAAACGCCTTTTAGCAGATAAAGCACTTGCACAGTAAAAAATTGTCCAAAATTGTGTTCATGTTACGATCTCGTACAGGTTACTGATATCATCCGAACCATTTTTAGCAAGATTGCGAGCACCACCAAAAACTAGACAGTTAGAGCATCCAGAAGATGTGTCCCAACTTTTATCCAAAGATGGATACACTGACGACAGCTGTGACTCGAATTCGGAGTCGGAGTAGTTAGTAAAATTTTTCTACCCTGCAGGAAAAATGCGAACTAGTCTGAAAAACAACTAGTTATACAACTAATAAAAAGCAACTGGAATTTGTCTGAATGCATTTTTGACTACACAGGGTCTAGAAAATTTGTGCTAGTCGAAAAAATGATTAATACAAAACTAGTAAAAAAGAAACTTGTTTCGGACTAGTACCTTTCTGACAAAAAAAACCTTAAAAATATTTAACTGGTAGAACAAATACATGTTAGGGTCTAGTTAAAAGGCAACTGGAATTTAACTAGTTGCAAATGAAACACATGTGATCCAAAAATATAGCCTAGAGTGTAAATGTCTTGGGAAATTTTGCACTAAACAAATCAAACACTCAAAGTCCTCGGTTCAATCCCCAGTGTCTGTACATTTTTTTTGTTTGCTAGGTGATGCTTTAGTTTTATTTTAAACTTTGTTTAATCTGTCCGAGGCAATATATATGTGGAAAATCACTGTTTTTGAATTATTTCACACTAAAATTCATAAACCTTGTTAGGGCATTACAAAATGTGATGCGTGTATGGCTCAATCAGTTAGTGTGTCTACAAATCCAAAGGTCCCGGGTTCAAGTCCTAGAGAGGGTGACTTGCCTCAAAAAAAGTAAGTTTGTTTTAATTCCATTTAATTATCATTTACTGTATTTGATTACATAATAATTATCAGAAATTCTCTAAGGACCGCGCCTATTAATTGGATACTAAATTAGAAGAGCGTCAAGTTAGGCATCGTCAAGTACTAGTGAAATCAAATCACTTGATGGTTTAGAGATTAATTTTTAGTTTTTTCGTGAAAATATTTTTTTTAGTGTAGTTTAACAGCTGTAACCATAAATTGGTTAACAGTCACTGGTGCAAAACTGGTAGCAAATGGACTAGTTGTTTCCGAAGACAAGCATATGAAAAATGGACCACTTCGTTACAAGGAAATGGACATAACTTGAACTAGTTAACCTTCTTGACCCAACTAGTATTTTAATAGTCCAAAACTGATTCCGTTTCCTGCAGGGTATGAAGTTTGAATTGTTACCATTAAAAAAAAATCTTTAAAATATAAACCAAATTTTTTTGTTTTTGTTATGAATTATCTTTAATATAAAACCTTATTTGCAGCTGTTTAGCTTATAACATCGAAGTTACAGCTAAAAACATAAGCATATAACCAAAATCGAACATTTTCAAAAAAAAAAAAAATGTGATCTCCAAAAATTAAAAACAAAATTTTTTAA